CACATTATCAATAGCTGTTTCACTAAATAAGAAGTGAATAATCTAAGCCTGTAGATGTCTTTAATCCCCACATTATCAATAGCTGTTTCACTAAATAAGAAGTGAATAATCTAAGCCTGTAGATGTCTTTAATCCCCACATTATCAATAGCTGTTTCACTAAATAAGAAGTGAGTAATCTAAGCCTGTAGATGTCTTTAATCCCCACATTATCAACTGCTGTTTCATTAAATAAGAAGTGAATAATCTAACCCTATAGATGTCTTTAATCTCCACATTATCAACAGCTGTTTCATTAAATAAGAAGTGAATAATCTAAGCCTGTAGATGTCTTTAATCCCCACATTATCAACAGCTGTTTCACTAAATAAGAAGTGAATAATCTAAGCCTGTAGATGTCTTTAATCCCCACATTATCAACAGCTGTTTCACTTTCTTTAGATAGTTCCTAATATATACAAGGTTTTTCAATTCCCACATTATCACCAGTTGGTTTAATATAATCCAGTTTTGTTTAATCATTGCATTATCACTATCTGTTTACATTTTTTTTAATATTAATTTAAACTGTAAGAGCTTAGAAAACTTTTAAGTTATAAATATAGACAAGAATGTTTATGTAAGACTTGTTTATCTTACCAGTGCCATCGTTGATACTAAATGCTGATAGAACTACCACACCAAATGTTATAGAACATCAGGCTGTAACCTTAGAATGTGAAGTTGATGGTAAACCTATACCCACCATTACATGGTTGAGGGATGGTCAGTTAATATCCCCTGTAGAACACCCAAATCTAAAGGTCAGTCAAACTTAAGTTTGATCAGATTTTTTTGGTATAAAAAACTTCTTTGTGTTTCAGCTGCTTAATTAGCCATTTTTTTAAGTGAGAAAGAATTTATAAACCTCTCATAAAATGTTTGTAGAAATTAAGATGTAACTTATGTATTCCTAGTTTTATTGAATTTTGGTTCTATACTTTTATTTCTAATTAATGTGAATCCCAATAGAATATCTTACCTTCTCTCGCAAAAAAGCTTTCTCGATTAGTACTGCCCTAATCGGCACAAATTTTTTTTTTCACCACTAGCCTTCTAACTCCCACTTCTTTCTGCATATCTACATGCAAATGATCATGCAGCAACCCTCCATCAATATGAGTGTAACACTACTCCTATCGTAACTAGTGCCCTCTCTAATAATGCACATGTTAATTGATTCTCGATTGAGATCAGAGATCAGTATGCCTCATTTCCCTCTTACATTGGATGATCATTTCTTTGCTTTTCATCACGCTAACTACCCATATTTAGACTTCCAGTATTTGGAATCTCTGATTCCTTTGTGGGGTTCAAACCATACCATTGGCTTCTCATTTGTCCCACCCACCTGTTCCTGTCTCAGTGCCTTGCCCCCTACCTTCTAACCTTTTGCCAGCACCGACTTCTCGTCCATCTGTGTTGTGCAATCGTTTGGCTTCCCATCATCATTTTTGGGGCATTCTGCATCAGTTACGCAGTACTCAGGTCAAGGCCAGTGGAGGCCAGACTCTTCCACTTTACCGACGTTTGGAGGTCGTTTATAGTCAATTCATGGGTTTTGAAGGTTGTTTCCAAAGGTCTGGCCCTCTGCTTCCTGTCATCTGCCCATCCCTTTTTTCTACCCCTTCAGCAGGATTGTGTTTTATGCCAGCATTTGTCAGAGGCGGTTCTGGGTTTAATTCTCAAGGGTGACATTGAATGTAGAGATCTTTCTCATCCAGGTTTTACTCTCCTCTGTTTGACGTTCCCAATAAGATGGGAAACTGGTGCCCAGTGATCGATTTCTCCTTTCTGAATCACTTCCTTGTCATCCCAAGTTCACTGTGGAGTTGTACTTAACTCTCTGTTGGGTTTTTCTTCCAGGCCTGTGATCTAGGTCGGATGAATATCTCCATACTCCCATCTCTATGACATACTGACATTTCCTTCGTTTTGTTCAACAGGAGTGTGTTTTTCAGTTTTGAATGCTTCCATTTGAACTGGCCTTGGCTCCCTATGTGTTCTCTCGAGTTGTCTGATCATTTGCACAACTGCTTCATTACTGGGGCCTTCGTTTCCACATGGACAACTGGCTCCTGCTGGCATCCTCACAGGCCAATTCTGCTCTCCATACACATTTTCTTCGGGAAGCTTCCAGGGTCAGTTGGCTCCTCAAGGTGGAGAAGTCATTCTACACACCTGCCTGGTTTCTGGTTCATTTTGGTGTGTTTTTGAATTCACTTGTCTGTCTGGCCCAGCCTTCTCTACTTCGGTTGAGAGATATGGAACATCTCATTTGCAAGGTCTCCTTACCCTCATTTACTGCATTAGGGGTTCTGTCTCTTTTGGGGATGTGCTTCTGTCGAAGCCCTCATTCCTCTTGGTTAGACCTACATGCTTCATCTTCATGAGGCTTTAATTGACCAATGGAGCTTTGTTAGGAATCTTTTTGGATGCTCCTTTTACCCTTCCCTCTCCATTACTGACATACTCTGCCACGTCTGGATTGTCCCCTTTTTACAGATGCTTCTCTTTCTGTCAGAAGGTTTTGGGATGGTGGATTCTTACTGTATCTACTCTCCATATCAATATCTGGGAGCTTCTTGCTGTTCAGTGAGTTGTCTTTGCTTTCATTTAGTCTCTTCGGGGACAGTTGGTGATTATTCCCTCAGACAATTCGACAGTGGTGTCCTATAGCAACTTGGTTTCGAACTTTGGATCTTCTTTATTGGGCCCACATCCATTAAATTCCTTTGCTGCCGTGTCATCTTCCTGGTGCCTGAACCTGGTTGCAGATCAGTTATCCTGACCTGACAAGTTTCTATCAGTTTAGTGGTCTTTGGATGCTTTTGTTTTTTTGGGAGTTATGTGCTTGTTGGGGTGTCCCTCATTTCGACGCATTTGTGTCTCCTCTCAACACACAACTTTCCTCATTTGCAAGTAGATACGGTGGATGCTCTTAGCCAGAATTGGACAGATTGTTACCTATATGCTTTTCTTCTTATTCGGCTTCCTCCTAACCTAACCTGACCACTCCTTGTCGAGTTCTGTTGGTGGCACCATATTAGCTAAATCAGATTTGGTGTCCATTTCTACAACAGCTCTTGGTGTCACCACCCATTCTTGTCACTTTGACTCCCACGCTCCTTCACCGGTCTCACTCTGGCATGTGTCATCCTTCCCTACTCCTACTCCATCTTCATGTGTGGCTGGCTTTTGTCCAGTCCCTCACCAGATGGTCTGGACTTTTCAGGCATCTTGCCTCCTTGATTTCCTGTCCAGTTCACCCATTATCATTGGAGGTTTATCAGCATAAGTGGACTACTTACTGCACTTGGTCTATATGCCTGGATTACCATCCTTTTCGATCTACCACTCCTCACTTGTCATCCAATTTCACTTGGCTTTATGACATGGGACTATTGGTTTGCTCTGTTGCAGATTATAGGGTGACTTTGTCTTCCACTTTTCAGTTCACTGAATTTGCTTCTGTGCTCCACTCTCCTCTATTTTCTTCATTCTCTATTGCTTGTCCTCCCCGCCCTGCTTATCTCCTGGATTGATATGTCAACATTTTCCTTCTTGCTTTTATTCGTCCTCCAGTTGAATTTTTGTCATCTTGCCCATTATGTCACCTTTCATTGAAATCTTTGTTTCTATTGTTGTTGGAGTGTGGTCACCGTCATTCTAATGTTTTTGCGATAAATGTTTGCTGTGTTTTCTTTCCCTTTCCTCCATCTCCCAACTTTATGAATGTTCAGCTCCTGATCGCCTCCTTTACCCAGTCAGGGCCCTCAGATGGTATATGACATGCACTGCTCCCTTCTGTGGTTCTTGTGTCTGTTTGTTTAGTCATTGGATTCCTATCATTTCACGTGACCTTTCTCCCATTACTTTTATAGGTTGGGTTTGCCAGGTTCTTTGCCTGGTGTATTCTTTCCTTCCTTCAGATAATTGTTGCCTTTTTTATGTTTTTCCTATCATATCTCCCTGGCTTGCTCATTTCCATCTTCCTTTGGTGGACATCATCAGCTCAGGTATGTAGACTACCCCGCATACCTGTACATCTCACAACCCTATATCACGTAGCTGTTTCATGCTATATGGGTTCCGTGTTACCTCCAGTCACCATTCTGCACACCTCTGTTTCTTTGTCACTGGTAAGCACTCTGCTTCTTTTTCTTTACAGGGCTTCTTTCTCATCAGTTATGGGTCCCACTCTGACCTAGTATACTTAGTCTCATGCTAGATGACTATAACATTGAGACTCTTACTACCAGGGACCTAATGTACAATTCCAGATGCTACCAGATGTTGGTTGATTGACTCTATTCAATTATCATCTATGCATTAATATCAACAATTCATATATGACAAATCATCACATATTACAGGTTCATGTTATACGCATAGTAGATGGGGAGTATTCTGTGGGACCAATCATAGTTATATCTAGTGGTTTTTTGCTTCATAAATATGTTCATTCCGGACTGTACACGCATGGACTTGCACAAGTAAAGCAGACAGAGATTACTGCCCATCTTTGATGCTCTGTGGCATTGTGGCTCATACTACCGCAACCCTGATGTACAATTCCAAATACCACCAGGTACTGGTTGATCAACTCTGTCAACGTGCCAGCTCTGCTTTTAAAAATAGGGTATTGTGGTTATCCTTTGCTCTGTCTCTGGTGCTTTGTCCTCCCGACTCTCCAATGCATTTTACCCCCCTTTCTTCTAGAGGAGTCTTTGCCACTTACCAGTTCCTAGCTGCTGGGGTGGTGGACCATGGAGGCCCGTCCTCCTGAAGGTCCCAATGCCACCAGGTTTTGGACTGGAGATGGAACCCCTCTTCTTACTGTCTGGTAGATTTCAGTTCCAGATGAATCTGGTGTTGATTGGAAGCTGGATAAGACACATGAATTCCCACTGTGGTAGAAACAGGGAACCCGGCATCACATGCGAGAAACTGAAATCCAGCAGATGGTAGAAAGTAAGGAGAGCTCAGGAGGTGTTCATCTCTGGTCCAAAACCTGATGGCATAGGGAATGTGTTGCTCAGTTTTCCTTTCACCTCAAAAACGGGTACTGGAAAGGAAGTCAAGCTTCCATACCAAGAACCTGTCTCCGCATGTCCAACACCTGATCCTCCAAAAACTGAAACAGGGTAGAAAAGGACCCTCTTCCTACCATGGACCTGATGTACAGTTCCAGATGTTTCCAAGTGGTTGTTGAGGTCGTACTCCCATTTATGATCTGTTGAACCCTAGTCACTCTTCACCTGTGGGTCCCTTTCTTGCTGAAACTTTTTTGGAATCCCTCCATGTTTCGACCCTTTATGTTTTGGGGACACATTTCTGAAGGAAAAGAGTATACCTGACTCAGAAGTGGTGCAATCTCTCACTAGTGTGTTGTTTTTTAATTCCTTACCACACATCATGATTTTTCTTTAGATGATTTCTAAAGGAGGATCATATTCCCCACTAGTTTAATGTGAGATTCTAGCTTTTCGTGAGAAGAGGTGGAATATTGGATCGAAAGTTAACATTTTCCTAAACTGAAAACTTATTCCAATAAATACTTACCTCCTCTCATATTTCTCACCTGTTCTTCCCACTTCCAGTGTATTGGTTGACTTGGTCATGACCAATCTCAAAGTTATTAACAGGTGCATTATTAGAGAAGGCACTAGTTATGATAGGGGTAGTGTCACATTTCTATTGGTCAAGGGTCACTGCATGCTCATTTACATATAGATATGCAGAAAGAAGTGGGAGTTACAAGGCTAGGGGCGAGCAAAACAATTTGTGCCGATAGAAGGCAGTGCTAATCAAGAAAGCTTTTTGTAAGATGAGGTAAGTATCTATCAAAAACACATTTTCAGTTTAGGAAAATGTTAACATTTCTCTGTTGGTAGATTTATTTTATTTTGGCTCTTCTATGTTTTTCCCATTAATACTCTTGCCATGGGCAAGTCAAAGTGTGCATGTCTCATGTTTTTAGAGTTACATTCCAATCTTAATTAGACTACTTTATTAACATTGTATGTGAATAAATTTGTCTTCCAAACATAGTTAGTAAATCAAATTTTAATATTATATAAGTTATAAGATCTTAGTTTTATAAGGAAATATTTAAAAAAAAATCCTCAGTGTCTTCTAGTATAAGAACTGTGACATTTGTTCTCTAGGTCTTTTCTCTTCTCTAATTTATTTATCACCCCTCCAAAAAGTACAGAATTTAACATAAATTACTCATGATATAGATATTAATCAGGTAGAGAATAATTTTTATAGCCTAAAATCTTATTTGTCTATGGAGCCATCAACTAGAAAATTGGACGTGCTTACTATACCCACCTTTCAAATTGCCAATAATTCTCCCTGACAATTTATAACCAACAGAAAAGCAAAGTTTAATCTATCAAATGGTGTATTATATCATGTATTGACAAGCTTTACTGAATTTTTAAAGAAAACCAGAAAAATTATGGTAGTTGTATTACATTGTTTGTTTTGTGTATTTTATTATTCTATATTCTTAGGTGCGTTATTTAATTCAATAGAATTGATTTAGTGTAGTAGTACTACTATTAGTATAAAAAAGTAGGCTTACTTAAATTTAATCAACAGTTGACAGCAAAAAACAAGAACAACCAGGTAAGTACTATATTTCTTGTTTTTCATGTATGTTCTTTATTTATTATTATAAAAGTAACTAAAATGTAAAAATTAGAAACTTATTATGTTAGATAAAGTAATATAATGAAGAAAAAATTATTCATGAGGCTTTTGGAATAGGTTGCCTTCAGATGTTGTAGAGGCAGTAAATTTAAGTGACCTTAAGAACAAGCTTGATAATTATATGAATGAAAAGGGCTGGGTTTAAAATTTATTATATTTTTTAATCATTTTAATTTAGGTTTGAGGTTGGAACAGCCGAGATGGACCAATAGGTCCCACGTTGTCCCAAATATTATGTTATGCTTGTGAGCAGTTCGTGTGTTACATAATTTGATATGGTAATGTGAGATACACATTTGCCCAGTGATTTACAACTTTTGTGGCAGGATTGTTTAGTTAGATCAAAGGGCAATAAAACTTGTGTAGAAACATATGTATACTGTTATGAGCTTTAAACTACGTAGGGTAACTGTAGTTTTTTGTTACAATCTGCTGTCATTCTAGAAAGAAAAAATATTATCTGATTGTAGTTCTCTAGTTTGATTATATATATAACAGTTTGTGAAGTTTGAGCAGTGCTAGTTTCAAGCCTCGTTATTGTACAGTTTATCTGATTGTAGTTCTCTAGTTTGATTATTATATATATAGCAGTTTGTGAAGTTTGAGCAGTGCTAGTTTTAAGCCCTGTTATTGTACAGTTTATCTGATTGTATTTCTCTAGTTTGATTATATATAACAGTTTGTGAAGTTTGAGCAGTGCTAGTTTCAAGCCTCGTTATTGTACACTTTATCTGATTGTATTTCTCTTGTTTGATTAGATATAACAGTTTGTGAAGTTTGAGCAGTACGAGTTTCAAGCCCTGTTATAGTGCAGTTTATCTGATTGTAGTTCTCTAGTTTGATTATATATAACAGTTTGTGAAGTTTGAGCAGTGCTAGTTTCAAGCCCTGTTATTGTGCACTTTATCTGATTGTAGTTCTCTAGTTTGATTCTACACTTTTTTTTCCATTAACATGTAATGTCTCTGTTTGTTGTTTTTTGTATTTTGATTCTACACTTTTTCCATTAATTTAAAATTTTTTATTTCTGGTTCTGTATTTTGGTTCAACACTTTCTTTCTTGTCCATTAATATACAGTTTTTCTGGTTTTAATGTAAGATTTATAATTTTTCATACTTTCCTTGTATCATTGAGTTTTACTGAAGATAAAAAGCTTTTTCTCATTTCTAGTCATCTTATTGTTCCAAGTCTGCCTCTTGAATTATGGTAAACGGGAGCTCTCCCAAGATGAGTTCAATGGTATTATATTTTAAAATAAGAAAGAATGACTGTAGAATCTTTTATATTTTAGAAGATAGTCTTCCAAAGTAGAATAAACAGTTACTTTGAGGTTTACCTTATTCCAAGATGACTCATAAAACTAACATTATTTGTAACAAATGGGAAAATAAAATGGTAACTTGTATCTCTCTCTTTATTTTTTTTGCATTGACTTCAAATGCTTTGATTTACTCAGGTTCTGCCAGGAAATGTGACATTTGTTCTCTAGGTCTTTTCTCTTCTCTAATTTATTTATCACCCCTCCAAAAAGTACAGAATTTAACATAAATTACTCTCTTTATTTTTTTTGCATTGACTTCAGAATGCTTTGATTTACTCAGGTTCTGCCAGGAAATGTGAAACTAAGAGTCATCAATGCTACAGCTGAAGATGCCGGCTTGTACACTTGTCTTGCAGCAAACGAAGTTGGAGTAGCAGAGAAACATTTCAATCTTGATGTTTTGGGTAAGATTTGTACTATTAAACAAAGGTTGGTGCTGTAGACCAAATGATGCATGATGAAATATGCTTTGTACTCATAGTTCACAGTTTAAATAAAGAACCATTACATTTTTTTCTTTAGAAGTTTGAAATCTAAACTTCATTTATGAATAAGATCTCGGTAACTTTTCCATATTTTGACAAACCTTCACATTAGGACTAGTTGTTCTCATGTTTCACTGCACAGTTTGGACTTAACTGTATAGATATTGTTCTATGTCATAAAACAAGAAATACAATTATATAATTACTTTTGGAAGATGGACTCTGCAGAAGCAATATATTTTATCATACCAGAAATAGCTACCATGATGGGTGGAGGTTGGGTGGATATATTATCAACTGTATTGATGGGTTTCATTGTTCATAGAACCAGTTATGAACAGTGGATCCATAGTTGCATCCATCTCTTAACTGATTTATTAATTGGTTTACTGTTATTACACTAGTAGTTCACTTATGATTGGCTGGATAACTAGAAAGATAATTGAATGCTACTACCATGATTATTCTCCTCTAAAATTATAATTTTTTAATTTTCACATCTCTTACAATTTTGGGTTGTTTATTTCTTGCTGATGGAGAATTTGTTATATCTATATTATGTTTACTGTCTCGTAGCCCTAACATTTACAACTGTCTATTAAGCAAACAGTACATATTTTAAAAATGGCCAAATAAAATTCTAGAATGTTTTGAAACAACTACCAATATTTTAACCTTCAATTTCAAACACAAAAACCAAATTCCATGTATTTTAATTTTTGAAAAGTTTCTGTCTACTTTGTAGTTTCTGGTGTTCAAATTGATTTGTTCATAATATATGAATGTAACTGATAAGTTCATGCTTTACAGTACCACCATCCATCAATGTATCAGCCACAGACCCCAACCACGTTGCTGTGCAGAATGATGATGTTGTTTTAGAGTGCCCTGCGTCAGGAAACCCCACCCCAAGGATGATCTGGTATAAAGACTCTCAGATGGTTCTGCCAGGCCCTGGGGTTCATCTTTCTGCTGATGGAATGAAGCTGACTATATCTCGAGTCAGTGTGACAGATGCTGGAAACTACATATGCATGGCCGTTAATGATGCTGGAGACATCGAAGTGGAGACGAGGCTCAGTGTGATGGGTATGTGTTGAATTATCGTTAAACCTTCATTTCTTAATCTGTGTTTAGTTTGTTGCTTTATGATAATAACATCAAGTAGCAATGTAAAGTCATAGGATGAGTAGAATACATGAGTTAATCAAATGGAAGTCTGACTTTCTTTCCAGTTCCTCCTGTTATTGACAAAGTTGGCATTGAGGGATCATCACAGGTTGTTATTAACCAGACAGCAAAAATCTTTTGTGAAGCACACGGAACCCCGACACCAGAAATTACATGGTTAAAAAATGGTCAGCCTTTGAGTGCTGTAAACTCAGGGGCATACAGAGTGTCCAATCAAGGTCAGTTGCTGGAAATCCTGCGAGTACAAGGCACCGACAATGCTACATACTCTTGTGTTGCTGGAAATGATGCTGGAATTGCTGAAGAGGAAGTGAAACTGAATGTATTAGGTAAATTCATCTTTTGTTATTGTACAACTTGTGATATCATATAATATTATGTTGAATTCTTTCTCTGTTTATGTAACATACTTAGATCTGGTGTCTTTAACTGGTATCAATATAATCATACATTGTGAAAAATACATGGATAGAGAGAGGTTGGGGATCCATAATAATTTGTAAAACCTGAAAAGGACCACCTATTCCGCTTAGAAACACATGCTGGGGATCCATAATAATTTGTAAAACCTGAAAAGGACCACCTATTCCGCTTAGAAACACATGCTGGGGATCCATAATAATTTGTAAAACCTGAAAAGGTCCACCTATTCCGCTTGGAAACACATGCCCAATCTGCAACAAAGTCTGTCGATCCTGGATTAGCCTCATCAGCCATCTACAGACCAATAGGTAAGACCATCATGGAGGACTATCATCCTAGATTGTGAGGGTGACAACAACAAAAAACTGAATGTTAAGGAAACTTTAAAATATGATCTTAATGAGGAATATGACACTGTAGTTATATTGTTTATAGAGCAATAAGAAAATATGTAGGAGTGCTGGAAATCTATTTATAGGATCATAACTTAATATTTGGGGACCATCCTAAGGCCGTTCACATCCAGTAAGAAATGTATAGATTTAATGTAGGTCTTATTTTACAATTATAAAAACAGTCGGTGTTTCTTGTGGTGCCAGCACTTAAATAAACAAATCTGTTAAAAAGTTATAAATGGCAAAATCAACTTAAGCTCCTCCCCCAGGTTATTGTCAAGGTTATTTCTGGTTAAACTTATATAAACCTCTTTACAAACCATTTCAGTCAGGTTATTGTCAAGGTTACTTCTGGTTAAACTTATATAACCTCTTTACAAACCATTTCAGTCAGGTTATTGTCAAGGTTACTTCTGGTTAAACTTAT